GAGCCCCATCATCCTCTACAACTCAAAGTCATTTACAGCTCAATAATGCACCATCTTCTCTGCCAAACTAATAGAAATCTTTGGTGATATTTGAGATTATTTCCCTAACTTTCTAATTTCTGATGATGGGTGAGGTAAGCTCCATACATTGAGCTCTCCTCCCCCTTCCTCTTCACCCTCTCTCCCTGAGATCCAGCTGCAGGCCTAGATGGACCTTCTGAGCCTCTCATAACCATTTTCTTACTTCAAGCAACTGGCCTGTGGCCAGGAAAGGTGTACCTTTCCTGACTTTTACTACAGGAAAGGACGCATGCACAGCTCTCCCACATGAACATCACAAGATTAGAGGCACTAAACCCTACCCTACACATACTCTGCTGATTCTGTTAATCGATAAGCTCATCTGGTATTATAACCCCTAAACAATGTGTGTCTTTACTGGATTTATGCACGCTTTCTTCTTTTTTTTTTTTTTGAAGAGGTTTTTGCTATAGGGCGCATGCGATCGCCAGAAAAACACAGAGACAGAAAGTGAGAAATCACTCCCCAAGGGGGATGGCCACGCCATAATCCCTTGTCCTCCATTCTCCTCTTAGGATCTTGGACACGCATGCACATGCACCCAGCGTGAGTTTAAGCCAGCGGGTCTGAGACTTGAACAGCAGTCAACTACATGGGAGTTCAGCGACATAGTCATTATGCTAACTGCTGGTCCATCACTGAAGTCTTGATGTCAGTAGTGTACTAGCTCTTGGGAGGCATCGGCAGTATCTGCCATTAACCTTCATCATAGCAGGTTTTGAGCTACCACTGTAACATCACAGATTACAATACCAGGAAGCAATATGCACAAAGCCAGTAGGAACAGGACACCAGAGCAACACTTATAATTTACTCTGTAATCTAGAATTTACTATACAGTTGACCCTTGAACATGGGCTTCAATTCCATGGGTCCACTTATATGTGGATTTTTTCCCAGTAAATACTATACACATACTTCCCTCATGATTTTAATGACATTTCTTTCCTCTAGTTTATTATAAAAACAGAGTACATAATATATGTGACATACAAAACATGTGTTAATTATTTATGCTACTGGTAAGGCCTCAGATCAACGGTAGGTTATTAGTAGTTAAGTTTTGGAGGAATCAAAGAGTTATATCTAGAGTTTCAAAATACACAGAGGGTTGGCACCGCTAACTCCCATGCTGTTCAAGGGTCAACTATAGGGCCCAGCAGGTGGCATGGTAGTTAGGGGTGCTGGACTCCCACATGGCCAACCATGATTTGAGTCCTGGACCTGGTGGCTTGCTGTCTCACGCTCTCTTTCTCTCATTCTGTCACTCTCTGGTCAAATTAAAATAAATAAATAAAGTTAGATAAAATAATTCTAAAAAAAAAAAAAGAGTCAATTGTATACTATTCTTTTGTTTAAGCTTTGCTATAGGGCATGTGTGTTCACTAGAAAGACAGAGAGAGAGGGAAAGTGAGCAATCAAGTCACGGGGGGGATGGCCATGATGCAATCCTATTTTCTCAGGATTCTGGGCATGCATGCACATATGCCCTGTGAAATTTTAAGTTGCTGGGTCTGGGACTCAAACTATGCAGTTGGTCATGTGGGATCTAGTGCTTTAATCTCCACACCACCTGCTGGCCCAAATGGTATACTCTTTTAACAGGCTTTTGAGATGTATTATAGAGGTTTGTTTGTTCAGTGCAATGCATTAACCTATAAAGTGAGACAGTCCATTGATTTTAGAGCTTTCGTGTTGCACAGGGCACACAGTTTGTGCTCAATTAAAAACCTGTTGGTCAGGCCTGGAGGGGGGTGATAAGCAAAGCCAAAGATGAAGAGGTCAAAATGAGCATGTTGTGGCTTAGAGTTGGCTAGCAAGGACAAACAAAATAAACAATAAAGGAGCAGAACGTGGTGGAAATTAATCAGAATGGGAGCTAGGAGATACTGTTATGTCCCAACCTTATACCTGTGTGATACTCACAAAGTCAATTCCTTCTTGGCCCTTACATTTTTTTCATCTGATAAAATTAAGGGACTGGACTACATAACTTATAAGACAGCTCTCAACTCTAATGTTCTGGGGTGTGGATTAAACTGACAAGAAGGGAGCCCATGGTCTATTGCATTGGTAATAATAAATTCATTTTAAAATTTGACCAGTCAACAGAGTTCAGGGGAGCAAAATTTTTCTGAAAGTATGAAGAAATATTCTTGTAAGGTCATTGCATTCCTTTGACCTAATAATCACCCCACTGAAAGATACAATGTCTGAAAGTTATGTCTATTTTACTATACTTTCCAGAGAAAAGAAGTATGAAAACACCTCTGTAGCTGCAGCATGTTTAGATGTTTCCTAGTGTCCCTTATCTAAAAAAGTATGTATTGCCTATGTACGTACTATGGCTGGGCCCTGAGAAGTGCTGAGGATTTACAAAAAGCAAAATAGACTCTGTCTTTACTCTCATAGAACCCAAGGTAGTCTGAGTCAGTAGCCATTTAGTTCCCAATAATCTGCATCAGCGCTTAAACAAAAAAGTTTATTTATTTATGGGGAGAGAGAAGGAGGGGAGAAAAGAAAGAGAAGAAGGGAAGGAGGGAGGGAGAAACTGATTTCTGGCAGGGTCTTGCCATGTTGGGACCCTCCTATCCCAGCCAACTGGGACTACAGGAGCTTGCTTCTGCACCTGGCCTGTTTTAAATGGGGCTGGAAACCAAACCAAGGCGTCCCATGTGGCCTTGGCCTCTGAGTAGCAGCATCTTAGCAGCATATGCCAACATGGCTGAGCCTGTGTCAGAGCACACTGCTCTGAGTAATGGGTGTAAGCTATGGACCCTCTCTCTCTCAAAAACAGGCACATAATCATAAAAATATGAATATTATTTTGGAGGTTCTTAGGGTTTCTCATATGTAGAGGTGTCCAAGTACCAAAAGTTAACAAACCTTGACCTATACCTACAATTACATCTACAAAAAAACTAAACAAACTTAAGTTCATAAAAGCCTATGTTTACTAAGGGAGTACGGCAAAAATTTCCAATAGAAACAATTAAAGGTAAAGGTTCACATTTAAGGCACCACGTTTTGATTATGTAAGATGTCATTCACATGGAGTATGTTATTCCAAAGAATAGTTTGAATTAAAGTTTGTCTACATTATGTTTCTATTTGATCTATTATGTTTTGGTTAAAGTTGCTTATTCAATCAGTCTCTTTCATCAAAAGCCATTTGCATCTGTTGTGTACTTCTACTCCACAAATAAATCTGCATTTTACAACTCTTCATTTCACATTATGATACACAATTAGCTATGACAAATACAAATACGCAGACACATATCCTGAATGAGCAACCGCGAAGAGAACAAAGTACAGAACTAGAAGGTACCAACTCCTCTCTTGACTCTAACAATTTTGGCAAACTAATCTTGGACAAATCATTTAACTCTCTGGCCTATGTTTATTCCATTAAAAAGCAGAGAGGAGACAAGACTTACCTGAGAGTACTATGAAAAATAAAATAATGTATTTCTAAGTGTTTACTCTAAGATGGGCAAAAGTGAGTAAAAGAGCAGATTCTTTAGAGTTGCTTACAAAACATCAGACATTTACAGGTCATTCAGAGAGTTGCTCATACAACAATCTTAGTGTGCTGTTAAACTTCTTCTAGCTGAAATAAAATAAATAGTTCTTAAATTGTTCAAGGAATTTTGTTTTGGTTAAGTGCCCAACACAGAAGTTCTCAAACATCAGAAATCTGCAGAGAGGCTTTGGAATTTTCATAATGCATAAATATATTCTCAAGGCAAAAAGGTGAGTCACGTACAACACACTTAATCCCAAGTATAGTCAAAGTCCTTTCCATGCAGTCTAACTTTTTTACAAAGCAATAATGAAAAGCTCTGTAATAGTGAACAGCATGTACAAAAAAGACTGTATGTCAATTAGTTCAACAAAACTGACAAAAATCAACAAAATCATTTAAAGTATTAGGGCCTTTCTTTTCTTTTCTTTTTTCTGAAGGTGTTCCTAGCTTTTAGAAGTCTGTGATACCCTTCACTTTGAGACATGTTTTCCAGTCCTTTCTCCACTGGAACACAAGATAAGCCATGTAACAGCTAACTTTTTTGGCTATGTATCAAACTTGTGAAACTATTCAACATTTATCATTATTATTATTTTGCATTACTTCATTTACAGTAGCCAAAGTCTGGGGTTGAGGCATGGAATAAAAAATCATTACACCTTACCAAATCTCATAAAGGAGACTCAAAGAGTAAACTGCCTCTGTATCTAGTAAAAATCAAGGTGCAACCCTAATTTCTCAAACCCTATCACGCCAAGGCTCTGCTGCTCCCCATAAGGTGACTTAAGCTCTTATTACCTGACTGCAAATTACCCACCACACAAATGTCCACTGCAGATCTCACATTTACATAACACTTTTTCCCAAGAAATTCAAAGCACTTAATTGTAGCATTATTACCATCCTGTGAAGCCTTCGAAACCTCTCGTCTAATCAGACCCTTAATGGATGAAAGTCCAGACTCAAGGTTTCTGAGAGCAGGGATAGAAGGGGCTAAGGGAGGAGACTCTGTCACAGATAGGTAAGGATAGCTTGGAAAGCTGAATGAGTGGGGCAGTGGGAAGTTTTAGGGATGGCAGACGCATAAAGGACTGAGCTCAGAAGAGGCTGGGATAGGAGAAAGGTGGGGGCAAAGGGCCGTTAAGTTGGTCGAAACTGGGAAAATAAAGAGCCAAGGGGGAGGGTAACTCCAGGCCAGCCCCCTCCATCTGCTTAGCACGTATCCGCTCGGTCTTTGTTTTCCCCCAGTACTGCCACTAAGGGGGCGAGCCTCCGAGTAAGTAGATGGGACAGTGTCATGGAATGGAGCCAACTCGGGCCCAGGAACATCCATTCCACCCCCGCGGCCGTGCGGGCTCCACTCCCTCCCCCAGCCCGGCCTGCATCTCACCTGCCACCAGGCGCAGGCTGCGGAGGCTCCCCATGGCCGCCTACCACGCTGACCAGCACGACACCTCAACGGAACGGCGGTGGCGCTGGTGCGCTCAATGTCACCGAGAACCGTAGTGGGAAGGACGCAGGCAGGGCCGGAGGGCAGAACGGGTGGAACGTGGGGCGGAGCCAGCGGGCTGGCCGGGCGTGAGTGACGCGCGGTGCGTGAGGGACGTGCGCGGAGCGCCCCGCCCGCCGCGCCCCGGTCCGCGCTGGCGGCGCCTGGCTTTGGAATGACGGCCGTGGAGGGTGGGTGTCAGGGGACAGTTTAATTCTCTGCATCAACCAAAGAACCCGTTTATAATAGGAGGGGAAAAAATGTAGAGCCTTTGTGAGTTGTAAACTCCTTGAAGTGCACACCGAAAAACAGTTCTTCTAGTGTTTTCGGCAAATACACGCTCTACCAAAAACACGTGATTGGACTCGGTGCCCAGTAGCCCTGTATCTCGGGTTTTGGAGTAAACCTCAGGCTAACATGAGAACTAAAGTGTACATTGTCCATTATTGTTTACTTATTTTCTTTTATTTACTTATTTCCTTTAAAACATTTCATTTCCACCACTAAACACCTTTCTCCACCGATACCTATAATCCACAGTGCTACAAATGCTTCTCTCCGACACCTTTGGGACCACGCTTCTTAGTGGTCCCAAATTCCTAATGAACAAAGGCCCCGTGGCTCTAGGAAGGCGGCCGGAGTGAGGCGTGGGTGTGGGAATGGGATAAACACTCGAATGAGAGGGATTGTAAAAGCCTCATTTGCTTAAGAGTTTTTCCTCGAGCGAACTGGTTGGTGTGACCGCGACTTGTTTCCCTTTTCGTAAAAGGGGATTGAGCAAACGATCCCTTCAAGTTCTGACAGTCTTCGACCCACGCGTTTGAGTCAGTTTTCAGGAGGGTATGTTGAAGCATAACAGAAGGGCGACAGTTTCTATATGGACAGGGACCAGAGACACCACAAACCCTACTACGTTCAACTTTCTAGCTGACACTTCTCCTGGACTATTTTTTCTTGGTCAGGCGGCGCCGCGGCCACCTTTGCTCCGCGGTGATTGGCCTGCACAGGGGTCCTCGCGTTTGTCCAATATGGCGGCGCCCAGTGGCGGTGTGAACTGTGAAGAGTTCGCCGAGTTCCAGGTGATGGGGTTTTTCTCATGTGCCAGGCGTGTCCTACCTTTTGTCCCCAGACCCTATCCCCTAGTCTGGCCTAGGAGGGGGAATGGACCAGTTGTGGAAAAAAGCGGGCAGTCCGAGGTTCTTTCTTCAAGCTGTTGGAGGTCATGAGGGGCGCGGGTTTGGCCTTAGGGTGTGAGGCTGCTTCGTTAGGGGGTTGGGGGTGGTGGTCATAGTTTTCCCTCCCTCTGCTAGCCTTGACCAGGGAACTTTGTCGTTCCCAAGCGGTAAAGCCCGGCTCGAGCTCCATGGGTACCGAGTGTAGTGAATTGTAGCAATCCCCTGAACTCAGTTCCCAGCCTTTGCCATTCCTCTCCTACTTTTCTTTAAGTCGAGCTTTTACCGGAGAGAAGAAAGTGGAGGAGAGAGCATGTACTTGATTAGACACTTAATACAGTTTATTATGTCGGTGGGACAGAACGTTTGGAAGCTTGGAGGGAGGATTAATTCTTCCACGTGTTCTGAGGCTGTTGCCTTCCTAACCATTAGAGAAGATGTAGCGTTTAAGAAAAAGGCCGTGTCTTTTTACATACAGACACTAGTGGTCTAAGGTTAATTATTAACCCACGAATTCGAGAACAGGGATCTGGATTTTGACCGACTTGCCAGGAAAGTTACGTGTTGCAGTGCTGGTATAAATGCTGCTGTTTAGATACAGTGTTGAATTTTTTTAAAAAAATTATGTTAATAAGATACTGCGTTTAGCTAACTAGAGATATTGAAAAATAGTTTTATTTATAATTAATCTATCTGTAGTAGTGCTTTGAACAGCTTGTATGTAGGTACATTTTGAATCTAACCTCAACAGACTGAATTATTTGACAACTAGCATTTGGCCAGAAGTTTATGTGAGGTCTTTCCACTATTCATTGCCCCTGTTGACTACTTTGGCTGCTCCTCAGACTAGATTAGCACAATAGCAGATCAGAGTGCTCACTAAATACAAATACTTGTAAGAACTCTTAATAAAATAGAGAAAGACTGTGGGTTTCCTAAGTAAATGGAATATTTAAGGTTAACTGGCTCATTTGTTGCCTTGGTCTTGTCACAGGTACTGTGATATAGCTTGAGTTAATGAGTTAATTATAATTGAACAATACTAGCCTTACGGTCTTGGGAGAGTCCTGGCTAGGGAGTTGGATGTTCTGGGTGCTAGTACTACTTCTGCCTTAACAGCTTGACCTTGGACATACTGCTTAACACTTTCAGGAATTAACTTGAATCTGTAAAATAAGATTATGTTAAGTAACATTGAAAACTGCTTTCATCCATGTAATTTTTTGAATCACTAAAACCAGATTTCAAAAGATCTCTCTGAACTGTTAAAACATCCAGCAGTGCTAAGGCCAGCAGGTAGCAGGTGGTAGGTGGCAGGGAGGATAAGGTACTGAATCCCACATGACTGATTGCACAGTTTCGCGGACCCACTGGCTTGAAAAACAAACCAGGCACGTGTATGTGCATACCCAAAATCCCAAGAGGAGAATGGAGAGGGGATTGTGGCACAGTGGCCATCCCCCTCAAGGGATGATATCCCTCTGGCTCTCTGCCCACAACCCCTCCCCTCCCAGAGTGCACACACCCTGTAACAAATTTTAAAACAACAAAAACATCCAGCAGTGCTGAAAGAACACTAATTTTTCTTTTGGATGGTCAGATAAGATGTTAGTAGAACAAAAACTAAACTGTCTTACCTAACCATCCCATTCACAAAGAAATTTGGGACCAGCAGTTAGCGTAATGGCTACTCCCATGTAGTAGACCACGGTTTGCGTCTTGGACCCGGTGGCTTAAACTCATACTGGGCGCGTGTGTGTGCGTGCCCAAGATCCCGAGAGGAGATCTATAAGGCACTTGCTCTTGCCAGAAAGACAGAGACAGAGAGACAGAAAGCAAGAAATCACCCCACACCACAATCCCTTCTCCTCCATTCTCTTGAGATCTTGGGTATGCACACACACCTACCCGGTGTGAGTTTAAGCTACTGGGTTCAGGACTCGAGCCACGCTCAACTACATGGGAGTCCAGTGACATAGCCATTATGCCAACTGTTGGTCCCTAAAAAGTTATATATTTTTCAGCCATAAAAAACAAGGCCCTGGAATTTGATAGAAAGTGGACGAATATAGAAGATTTGTTGCTGTGTGAAGCAAGTCAGGCTATGAAAGAGAGACATTGTATGTCTCCACTTAACATATACCGACTATCTACATTCTGTGGTAGCGACTGAAAGACTGGAGAACGTAAAAGTATTAAAAATTATAATGGACACTAGAGATAAAGTGGAAAGAGAGCGTGGGAGGGGAAGAGCATAGGAAAATTTGGGGGGAAAATGGAGAGGTAAGACACTTGTGGGACACAGATAAGGTTTATTATCTGTTGATGAGAATATGTATGGTGGTCTCAACTGGGCTGGACTGAGGTGTTTATCATGCTGGGTAAAGTATCTTTGCAATCTGAAGGATGTATAATAATTTACTGTATGAATAATAAAAAAATAAATTAAAAAAGAATAAAAAATTATTAACAGCTCAGGAGGGCTGGCCTTGAAATCTCAGCTTCTTGGAATAATGACAAACATCATACTTTAGAGTAGAATGAGACTATAAGAGGGACTAGGGTCTCCTTCTTGGAGCAAATCCATCTTTGTAGAGCTTATTCTTGCACTGTGAGCCAGACTTGTTTCCCATATAACTCAGCTTCTAGGGGATGGAAGCCAGTGTTTCCAAGGTCCTGGGGGTGAGTTGGGTGAGCATGAAACCAGATCTATGACATTCTGGAGAGGAGAATCAGTGTTCAACACCCTGACGTATAAAGCAAACAACTACAATTTTTAAAAATTTGCTATAGGTCTCATGTGCTCACCAGAGAGAGAGAAATAGAAATAGAAAGTGAGAAAGTAACTGCCAGGTCTGATTCTCAAACTGCGGTTGGATATGTGGGAGTCTAAGTGCTGTAACAATCATGCTACCTGCTAGCCCCAAAGGTTGTATTTTTTAAAGCTATTAAACCATTATATTTTGTATGTAAGTGTCCTAAATGTGGAAAGCACTGCACTGAATACTACAGAAGAGAAACTCGAAGTCATGGGTGTACTTTTTTCCAAATTTATTTTAAAATGTTCAAACAATATAAAAAAACAGTTGAAAGAGTTGTACAATGTACTCATGTGTCCATTATCTAGATTCTACAATCAATGATTGGCTGTTTTTTTTTTGTTTGTTTCTTTTTTTGGAGAGGTTTTTGCTATAGGGCGTGTGCGCTTGCCAGACAGACAGAGAGAGACAGAGAGACAGAAAGCGAGAAATCACCCCCCAGGGGGTATGGCCGTACTGCAATCCATTCTCCTCTTAAGATCTTGGGCACGCACGCACACGCGCCCGGCGTGAGTTTAAGCCACCGGGTCCGGAACTTGAACCATGGTCGACTATGTGGGAGTCCAGCGACATAGCCATTATGCTAACTGCTGGACCCTCTTTTTTTGATAGAGATTTTTGCTATACGGCATGTGCACTCTCTGGAAAGACACAGACAGACAGAAAGTGAGAAATCACTCCCCCAGGGGGTATGGCCGTACTGCAATCCATTCTCCTCTTAAGATCTTGGGCACGCACGCACATGTGCCCAGTGTGAGTTTTAGGTGGCCAGGTCTAGGACTTGAACCTTAGTCGACTAGTGATGCAACCATTACACTATCTGCTGGTCCCTAACTAGCTAATTTTACTCTCACATATCCACCAATCACTAACTGAGGTTTGGCATTTATACTCACCTGTAACAAACTTCTATCAACATAGACCATAATACCATCACCTCCAAAAGTTTCTTCATGCCCTTTCTCATCGATCTCTGCTCCTGTCCTCCCAGCAATCTCCCTCCCACACAACTACTATTCTAATATTTTTCCATAAAATTGAAGAATTTTAAAAGTTGAGTCAGTCCCATTGCCTAATGATTAAAGGAGCTAGATTGTACGTGGCTCACCATAGTTTGAGTCCTGGTCTTAGCAGCTTGAGAAACATACTGGGTCTGAGTGTGTGTGTGCCCCAAATTGTGATAAGAAAGGAAGGAGAAAGGATTGCAGCATGACCATTCCCATGGGTACAAGGGGGGAGTACTTTCTCCATCTTTTGTCTTTCTCTCCCTCCTTCATGTGCACATACATCCTATAGCAATTTAAAAGAAAAAATTTTAAAATTATTTAAAATTTTTGCAATTCTTATTTTTTCTTTGTTAAAGTTAGCATTCCTGGAAAATATTCTGTTTCCAAAATAAAATAAAGCCCACAAATAAGTGTTAAAAATTGAGTACCTAGAATCCCATTGTAACTTTTACTTAACTTTATTTAGTCTGCTAGGGCTGCCATAAAAAAAGACTGCAGATTGGATGGCTTAAACAACAGAAATTTATTTTCTTTCAGATTTGGAAACTAGAAGTTCAAGATCAAGGTGTCATTAGGGTTGGTTTCCGGTGAAGGAAGACTTTCTACCTGCTTTATAGATGGCCACCTTCTGACTGTTTACACAGAGGGAGAGGAAGCTCTATTATCTCCCCCCCGACACACACACACACACACACACACACACACACACACCTTTCTTAGGGTGCACACACTCACTGGAGAGAGAGAGAGAAGGAAAGTGAGAAATCGTTCCCTAAAAGGGATGGCCATGCTATAATCCCTTCTCCACTCCTTTCAGGATTTTGGCCATGCTCACACACGCATCTGGTATAAACCATGAAGGCAGCTGTGTGGGATCCGGCTGCCTTAACCACTGCACCGCCAGCTGGCCCATCTTCTTACAAGGACACCAGTTCTATTGGAGTAGGTGTCCCCCATTTAACCTTTACTACCTTCCTATCTCCAGTATAGTCACATTGGGGTTTAAGGGCTTCATGAATTTGGGGCAGACACAATTTAGTTGATAATCAGATATCTTTTTTTTTTTTTTTTAGAGGTTTTTGCTATAGGGCGCGGGCCCTTTCCAGATAGGGCGCGTGCACTTGCCAGACAGACAGAGACAGAGAGACAGAAAGTGAGAAATCACCCCCCCCAGGGGGGATGGCCATGCCGCAATCCCTTTTCCTCCTTTCTCCTCTCGGGATCTTGGGTGGGCATGCACAAGCGTCCTGCGTGAGTTTTAAGCCACCGGGTCTGGGACACGAACCATGGTTGACTACGTGGGAGTCCAGCGACATAGCCGTTACACTAACTGCTGGTCCCCTGATAATCAGATATCTACTAGCTGTCAGACACTTGGCAATATATGGGTATAAAATGACTTAAGCTGTGTAGGGATATTAAAATATATAAAACGTTGAAAATATGAATAATATGCAATAAGAGTTCAGAGATAAATAAGTCAATAGATGGTAATTGAGTTGGGCCTAAGGTGGACAGTACACCAGGGGTATTCTAAGCAAAAGCAATTGTGTATAGGCAACAGATTTTATGTATTTTGGGGAACGAGCAAATCAGTATTGAATTATAGGATTTACATGGGCACATTGAGATTACACAACAGATTGGGAAGAAATTGGAGAAAGCCTGAGTGCCAGGTGTGAGATTATGGAGTCATTTTTGAGCAGAGAAGGTGAGATCATGAAAGAAATGCTTTAAGAAGATTCATCACTACTGCCACCAACTTTGTTTAAGCCCTGTCGTTTTCAAAACCAGCTTTCAACAGGTCTATCTTCAGCCACTCTTTTCTCTAAACTGGTATAATAATCTTTAATCTAGTCTCTGTAAGATTGTGGTGTTAATGTATTATCTACTGAATTTTCGAATCAAAACCACACATCTCTCTCTTTTTTTAATGGATGGAGGACGTGTACCTTTCATTGTAGAAAGAAGACACTCTCTACACTGAATCATAGTCATGCAGCCATTCCTTCTCCATTTCTCTGTCATTTTGGGATTTGGGGCACACACACACACACACACACACACACACGCACCTGGTGTGTTTTTCAAGCCACCACCACAGATCTGAACCATGGTCAACCATGTGGGATCTGACCCCCTTAACCACTAGGCTGTAGAGTTGACCCACACACTTCTAATTTTTAGGTTCACTACTTAATGTGGCATAGAAAACATTTTAAAATCCAATCCCAAAATGCCTCTCTCTAATCCCCTCTTTTTTTTTTTTTTTCTTAAAGAAACAGGATTTTGCTGTGTTGTTTGACCTGGCCTTGTATTTATTCATAATCCTGCCTCAGCCTCTTTAGTAGTTGGGATTATAGGCCTGAACTATAATGGCTAGTGGATCATATCTCTTATCACTGCCCTTATTCATGCATGTTAGGCATGTTTCCTCACTCACCCCCCCCAACATACATTTGAACTCTGCTGTCCAGCCCATATTGGCCTACTTGCTTTTTCCTGAACACACCAAGATTTTTCCTGAGCACACTAACACATAGTCATTTCTGTGTCTTTTTCACTTGTTTCCATTCTGAAATCTCTTCTTGCTGACCCTGAGACCAAGTTCATCTATCACCTGGACAAAATCAACTAAGTATGCCTTCCCAAAATATTTTGCCTTGGTATTTCTATTAGGAATATTTGTCTGTTTATGCATAATTTATTTGAGTCATGGTAATTAGATATAGACTAAGATTATTTTCTAGCATCAGTCATAATTTCTTTTGTAACATCCCCAACTACTCTCTGTTCATGTCTCTGGGGGTGTTGGATGTCAGAAGACTAGCAGTTGTAGGCTAGTCTCTTCCTGGCTTGGGGAAGCATGGGGTGGACATTACTGTACAAATAGAATTTGAGGAACCACGTCTGTTGAAAAGAACATCATGGGGACCAGCAGATGGCATAATGGTTATGTTGTTGGACTCCCATGTAGTCCCTTGACCATGGTTCAAGGACCTGACAAAACTCAGTGGCAACTTAAAACTCATGCAGGGCACATGTGCGTGGCCATCTCCCCCCCCCGCCCCCCCCCCCCCGTTTTGTCAGTCTCAGAACTCCACCCTAAAGCAAAAATCTCAAAAAAAAAAAAAAAAAAAAGTAAAGAACATCATGTGAACATGTGAATGGGAATCTACCTCTGGGTACTCTCAGGCAGGGAAGAGAGGAAAGGTTAAGGAATCTCTCAATCACTCTTTTGTTTTAAAGGACTTTGTACTTTAGTCATGTACTAGCCCTTTCCCACCCTCCATATACCCTAGAAACCGCCCAACATAGTGAAAGGAATTTACTGAGGTTTAATTTTAGGAGTAGAATAGAATATATCTGTAGGGGCAATAGAAGTTTTCTTACCCCTCCCTACTACTAAGTGCGAGCACTCCTTCACTACTGAAACTGCTTTCCAAAGGCAGACATTTTAACCTCATAATTAGAGATAAGGACATAAAATGTGATTTGAAGAGATATACCTGAATGATTTTAAAGGATCAGCCTAAAATTAGATTCATGATACGTATATTAGAATTTCTTCTTGTTTTGAGAGGATGAAAGATAGGAGAAATTGGAGGCAGTACAGAATTTGGAGAGTTATATTTTGCTATGATTTAGTATTAGAAGTTGATTGGGGGCCAACTGGTGGTATGGTGGTTAAGGTGGCTAGATCCCACCTAGCCACCTGTATGGTTCATTTCCTGAGCCCAGTGGTTTAAAAAACATGCTGGGCACATGTGCATGTGTACCCAAAATCCTGAGAGGAGAATGGAGGAGAAAGGACTGTGGCTGACCATCACCCATAGGGGGTGCTTTTCCACTTACCTCTCTATCTCATGAGAAAAAATAGTCAATTAGGGTCCCAAGTCCTGTACCAGTTATAACCTTCAGAGAACTGCTGACCTGTGTGATTCTGTGTTATCTCTGTGGACATGTGTTATAGTTTATTGTGTATGACATCTATTCATGAGTGTGTTCTATATATTGGTGTGTGTGTGAGAGAGAGAGAGAGTGTGAGGGAGAAAGGGAGAGAATGCCACTGGGCTAGGCATCAGATAGGTAGTCAATATTTCCTTCTGAATGATGAACTTGCTTTAAAGGCAGCTCTTCTGTTCCTTTGTTCACCTGCATTTACTCTCAGCCTGTGAGGACTGCCCAAACTTTTTTGTAGACCTTTTTTGGAGTTTCATTAAGAGGTCTGGCACTTTCTCCATGTAAAGAGATGCAAGCCTGGTGAGGTGGTTTATTGTTTTCTTTCCCACTTTCCAATTTGGAAAGAAACCTCTTCCTGTATCTTATTTCCTTTGTTCCCTTCTCTTTAGCTTTTCTGTGACATTTAAAAATAGCTTACAGTTCTCAACTGTCCCTGAACAAATTAGTAATTGTCATTATATTTTCTGGAATACAGCACTGTTCAATAAAATTTTCTGTAGTGGTGGAAATGTTCTACGTTTACACTGTCTTAATATGGTGGCCACTAGTGATATGTGGTGCTTGAGCACTTGAAATGTAGCTAGTTGCAAATGTTGATTTCTATCCATATGAATCTTGACTTCTTAGTAACAGTAACATAGTTGACTAGTCTCTCTTAAGCTTTCCTTCTTTTAAATTGCCAGAGGGTACATGCACTTGCCAGAGAGGTAAAAACAACTCCCAGTTGGAAGTGATGATGCTGCAGTCACTTCTCATTTTATTCATCCTGTTGAGATTTTAAGTGCATGTACACATGCACTTGGTGTGTTTTTCTAGCCTCTGGGGCCAGGATTTGAACCACAGTCAGCCATGTGGGATCTAACTCCCTTAACCACTGAGCGGTGGGACTAGCCCTAAACCTTTCTTCTTCTGACTTCTGTGACATCATAAACTTTTCCCTTACTTTTAGATGCAGAAATTCTTTCTTGATCACTGGCCCCCATCACTTCCTACAGGCTCCCTCGTTGATCTCTTCTGGTCTTATGGTTTTAAATAAAATAAGTTTATAAATGTAGTTCTAGCCTTGATCAATGTCAGACAGGTGTGTTCAACTTCCTTCTCCACTTTCTACTCAGATATTTAATAGGCAGTTCAAACTTAAGTCTAAAACTTAAGTCTATTTTAATCAGGTAGAGACCTCATGTGCATGAATAAGAGACAGGGGAGGGAAGCATCCTTGACATGGTCTTATCATCCTCCAGTTTCCTTTTCCCAGCACTCTGACTACTCAGGATCCTGGGTATATGCATCAGTCATGTTTTCAGGTTAACCGCAGCATCTGAAATTGTACTCTGCCATGTGGCTTCTAGCTTTGCAGTTCAGTTTACTACTGACTGTGCCATAGGCTGGACCCAGAGCTTTTCTTTTAAAAAAAAAACCACTTGGGGCAGGATCAGTAGATGGCATAATGGTTGTCACTACAACTCTCACATAGTTAACCAAGGTTAGCGCCCTGGACCCGTTGGTTTAAAATTCACACCGGGCACATTTTCATGTTGCGAGGACTGGGATACAAACTGTGGTAGGGCACATGGAATCCAGTTCCCCTAACACTAGTCTACAGGCGGCCCAGGATATTTTGTTGATTGTGCTTTAGGGATCAAATTAAAAAAAAAAAAATGATTGCGCAGATCTATTTTCTTCTAGCAGTTTTCTTCTAGTAGTTTCTAGGTCTCACATTTAATTCTTTAATTCATTTTGAGTTGATTTCTATATATGGTGTAAGATAAGGGTCCAGCGTTTTATTATTTTGGATATGGGTCCAGTTCTCCCAACATTATGAATTGAAAGAGACTATTCTTTTTCTATGTTATTCCTTGCAACTTGTGTTGAATGTCAGTTAACTGTAGATGTATGGTTTTGTTTCTGCACTCTTTCTGCAGAGCAGAATCCTTAATCAGTCGTCTGTATTGTCCTCTGTCTGGTACCCTGACCTTCCTAATACCACTTCTTCTTTATTCACTCCTGTTCTACTTGCTCTTTGTTCATTTTTCAAATATCCCTTAACCTCTGAGCAATGGGACCAGCCCTAAAACTTTCTTCTGACTTCTGTGACATCACAGACTTTTTCCTCTGCTTTTAGATGCAAGAGTTCTTTCTTCGTCGTTGGCCCCCTACACTTCCTTCAAGCTTCCTCATTGATCGCGTCTGGTCTTGTGGTTTTAAATAAAATCAGTTTATTAGTGTAGTTCTAGCCCTGGTCTTTCCTCATGATTTTTTACTTATTTCCTCAGATATTGCCATAGTTTGTTCATTCACATCATTCAGAGTCCAACTCAAATGGTATATCTTCAGATTGATCGCATCTGGTCTTGTGGTTTTAAATAAAATCAATTAGTGTAGTTCTAGCCCTGGTCTTTCCTCATGATTTTTTACTTATTTCCTCAGATAGTGCCATAGTTTGTTCATTCACATCATTCAGAGTCCAACTCAAATGGTATATCTTCAGGGAGGCTTTTCTTGAGCATCATCCCTTAAAGTACCCTCTAGGCCCCACTCAGTCACTCTTCAGCCTTTTACCTTAGTTTTCTGGTTACGGTACTTTTCAGTATTATATGGTTTATGGAGATACTTGTGTGTTGTCTCTTTCCCCTTTAGGAATTTTTCTCCGTAAGAGCAAGGACCTTTTCTGTTTTACTCACCGCTGTAGCCCTGCTATTTAAAATGGTGCCTGACACATGCTAGACATCTGTAATTGTTTTTTGAATGTATAGTGAGTTAATAAATGAATAGACTCTGTGGTACTCTAGTTGCTGCATTATTTAAAGAAGAAAGATTGCGAAGGGCTTTAGTAGTCAAGGAGAACATTATCCAAAAGCTATAACTTAAGCCACAGCCTCCAGAGATCAGTAAAATTTAGATAGGCAAAGAGAAGGTTTTGAAAGAGATTATAAAGGAGGCTTAAAAAAAATAGGTAAGCTGTAGGAGAGAAAGTTGGCAAAATGGGTCCCTGTTTTTTGACTCCCTGAAAAATGGAGTACAAATTCCACTATTTGTTTGGAATTTACCACTTAGAGGTGTATTTTCTCCACTCTTTAACAACATTTAAAATGATTGTCCAATTAGTATGTTGAGATTATCCTCTGAGAATTCCAGTTTACAGGGAACACTATCAGTAAAAGTGAATACAAGAAGAGGAGATAAGATAAAGAACTTGGTTTTAGATCTGACATTTGCCTGTGTTTTGTTAGTCTAAAGCTGGGCCTTCTACCTGTTGTTTTCCTTCTAGATTGAGATCTAGAAAAAGCCATTAGTTAAAGAACAATAGAACCGAATCTAGCCTACAGACTTAGATGAAATAGCCTACAGACGTAGATTAAATTATTGTTATTATTGGAAACTACCTAAATGCTCACTAATGGGAAAGTGGTCAAGTTAGTTAGGGTACCTCTACAGGATAGAATTAAAAATGTCTTCAGGGCATTCTTAATAACAAGAGCAAAATGCTCATGGAATCATGTCATAATCATGACATTGAGATATTAACAATACAAAGTATCTCAGTTTTATGAAAACATTCATTGATGTATGTAGAAGAAAAGTAAAAGAACATGTTGAAATATTGATAATGGTTAAATATGGATGATTTTTATTTATTTAAAAAATGTTAAGAATTATTTTTATTGACTTTATTTATTTATTTATTTATTTATTTATTTTAATTTGACCAGAAACGGACAGAATGAGAGAAGGAGGGAAAGTGAGAAAGCAAGCTGCCAAGTCTGGGACTCAAACCACAGTCAACCATGTGGGAGTCCATTGCCTTTAACTACCATGCCAACTGCCGGCCCTGGATGATTTTTATTTTAATAAATAGATGAAAAAAGAAATGAAGGAGTTGGTTTCATTTGTGAATTTAAGTTTGACAAAGGAAAGAAGTAGGATGGTATATTGAGGGAGATAGAGAACCAAAGTTGCTTTTAATACATGTCACTATGAATATTAACTTGGATATTTTCTATAATAAATATGTTCCAATATACAATTCTACTTTCAGTGTTTTTTTTTGGGGGGGGGGGGGATGTTTTGTGTATTTTTTTTTTCTTTTTTTTTTTTTTGTGAATGTAAGAAACAGAAATAGAGAAGGGTATACTGCTAGAAACTTCTTAGAGATTATGTTAACTGCAGAGAGAATGAAGCTTATTCATAGTCTTTGGTGACAAGTGAAAAGTGCCCTGGTCAAAATGTGGGGAGGTCATTTTCATCAGTTTTTCTAAGTTCCCTGTCCTTTTGATATTATTATTTATTTGGAGAGTTGGGGACTTTTTGAGGGGGAGATGATGCATGAGAGATGTGAGCTAGGACTACTAAGAAAAGGGTAAAACTGATTCCTACTTGTTTTTTGAAGAGAGCCATAGAGATTTGATTTCTTTACTAGCAGCTTGTTTTCTCAGAAAAATAATACATGACTATAGGAAAAAAAAAACCTAAAAGCCTTAACGAATATAAATTAATTACTGCAAGTTTAACTGCTACTACTAATTGTATATCTTGTATATCTTCCCGGAAGTTTTCTGTCTAGCACCACATTTTACAATGATAGTTAAGAAGGAAATATAGCAAGTGGCTGTACTAATTGTTGGGGAGAATCTGTGGTAATAAAGTTCAGCAGAACGTTTTATTGGCTGTGTGCTAGAGATGGAAAGGGTACATACTGTTTGCTAAGCACTATGCCAGCAAATAGGATTCAGACATGAATAAGACAGTCTTAACCCTTAAGATGATTACAGCTGAGCCAGAGACAGTGTTGGTATTCTCTGTTAGAATCTACCTGTCATCCTCATAATAAAGATTTTCTTATGTTGTACTGTATTTGGCTTAGTTTCCTCACTCTTAAGTGGTTGTAAAATATCCAAGAGCAGGCCAGCTGGTGTTGTGGTGGTTAAGGCAGCTGGATTCCACATGACCAACTGTGTGGTTTAAGTCCTGGACCTGGCAGGTTGAGACACTTGCCGGGTATATGTGCATGTGTACCCAAAATCCTAAAAGGAAGAATAAATGGAGGAGAAGGAATTGCAGTGTGCCCATTCTCCATGCAGGTGCTTTCTCACTTTCTCTCTCTCCCCTTCTTTCTGTCTCCAGCAAGCATGCGCACCCTTTGGCAAACCTAAAAAAGAAAAAGAAAGAAAGAAAAAAATGCTAGAGTTTTATTTTTTGCTTTTTTTTTTTTTTTTGTTAATTTTTTCATTCAGATTATATTCTTTTATTTTAAATACATATAGGAATTACTCAAGGTGATGAGGACAATTGATGACAGAATAGTACATGAATTAAACACTACGGTTCCAACAGCTTCCTTTGCAGGGAAAATTGATGCCAGCCAAACCTGTAAACAACTTTATGAGTCTGTAAGTTTATCTTTTGAGTCTCTCTTTCTTGCTTTGTTAATAAGCCTTTCTTTTCAGGCAAAATAAGAAATCAGTTGACATATAACTAAGTTGTGAATAAAAGGAAGATATTTCCATGTTTCCTTGCCCACCCCTTAGAGTGTATATAAGTTTTGACCTTACATACATATTATTTTCTATAAGTTAAAGAAAATGTGAGATCTTATGCATATATCTGTGAAGAGATGGTTTGGAAGAATAGGAGCGTTTTTTTTTTCCCCTTTTGTCTCTGCATTTGCAAACATTTATTTAGTTAAGACCTTAATGCATGAAGGAATGAAGGGGAGTGCGAGTCAGTAAATATAACAGTTAACAAGAGCAAGGACTTGAAATGAATCAATTCCCAAGAAACCAGACATCTGAGGTAAGGAAGAATTAAAACTCTTCACACCTTTTATATCTTCTTTTTTTCCCCACCACTCATCAGGAAGGGCAATCGAAGCATTTGCAGTATAGAAAGAAGACAAGCCAGAGATAAACGGTCCTTTCCTGAGGCTTTGGTTTCTCAAGTGTGTATTTTTTATTGCCTCCCTTTCTTTCTCTTTTTCATTTCTAAAAGCAGAAGGAAATAGTGCTGTTCTTACATATTTTTCAGTTTATTTACTTGTATTCTTTCATTAACTTGGAAGCTAAAGTTCAGATGACACGCACTATTTCAAGCTGTACCACAGGTTACTGTTTGGATTCGTAGTAATGTGAAGAGGGTATTACTGAAAACCTGAAGTGTAATTCTTAAATACGAAAAAAGAATCAGTTTTGGATAAACTTACTCATATCAATTAAATTCAGAGTGTTAACTGCTGATGTTCTTGTTCTGCTTTTATATAAAAATGTATATTGATTGAACAGGTAAGTCTTGTACCTTGAGAAATTTTAAGGTTGTTGACTTTAATAACTAGATCCCATATTAGAGTAGTAGTATGAGTCTGAGTCCTAATTTATTCTGAGGCTATTTGACATTTTACTTAATTTCTCTGGGTATCTGTCTAAAGAACTAGAAATGTATGGTCACTTTAGCGATAACAGGAGACTCTTACCTCACTGCCCATATAGTCTCTGTAATTTATTCAGTTGTTTCCATTTGCCATCTTCCTATTAACCTAGAAGTTTATAGTGCAGTGATTAACATGGATTAAAGATCTATGTTAAATCCCACCTCTGCTACTTCCAAGCTGGGTGAGCTTGAACATGTTGTAAAATCTCTTCTTCAATTTCCTTGTTTGTAGAACAGTGTAATGATAGTACTTGGTTCATGGAGTTTGATTGTTGGAGGATAAAGTGAGTTCCTGTAAACTGCTTGTGTACTAAGTGTTTCACAGATAAATGTTTGCTGCTCCTGCTGTTATTATTTAGAATGCACTTTTGAACCAGGATGACCTTCCATATTACATTTGAAACCTTCCTATTTGGGGAATCATTGTGTACGTGTTTGGGTTTTTCTGTGTCTGCATCCTAGAGGGATCTAGAACACGAATATCATGTAAAAGATAATTTATCAATCACCTTTGTGCCGGGGATCTGGCCTATAGCAGAATGTCCTTGCTAGTCATTACCACTGAGTTCCCTTAGATATTGGATCAGTCAAGAAGTAGGACTCTGAAATATCCAAGTTGCCCATAGTCATCCTGATGTACTTTAGTTCCTAGTCCAACCTCCTTCTACAACTAATGAAGTAACATTTGCATTCTTTAATTATAAAGCTTCATAGGTGATGATCACTAAAATTATGAAGCACTGGTTTTAGAAATTCTGAATCTCAAAAGTATACTCATACTAAAAGTAAAATAATTTCAGTGGGATCCCATTATGAGAGTATATTCCCTTCAAGATAATGAAATTTTTTAGCTTTATATTGTTTCTTCCTAGATAAATGTAAAAACCAGTACTGTATAATAATAAGTCTATCAACTTGAAATAGTACTTTACAGATATAAATTTAGCGGTGTCATCAAAATTTGACTATGATCGTGGGAGTGTGTTTGGAACGTGACCATCATCCCTTGTGAATTAAGACAAAAAAGATAGGAAGTGTTGTGTCTGAGTTGTTACATTAAGATGGAGGTTCTTAAAAAGTTATTCTGCCAGACTACCTTACTTTCAATCAATACAATTGGTACAACCACTAACTAATGTGTGCTCTGTGCAGTTTTTCTTATCTATTCTTAATACTTGAAGGCTCTGTCTTATATAGGTAAATGTAGCATTCTTTGTTTTTGTTGTAACTACAATGTTTAGGTCATGAATTCACTTGTAGGTAACACTAGACTGAAGGAAAGAAAAAGGAGGAAGGACAGCGAGAAGTACCCCAGCAGATGAGCGAGTGGGCACAGGGTAGAGGAGTGCGTGGAGGGAGTAATGGGAAGGATCAGGGTGTGTAGGGTGAAGAAAGCAGGGGCACTGTGGGAAGAGAGGGGCAGGAAATACTGGGAACATACCAGGACTAAGACAGCCCCAGACATCCCCTGACGCCCCCGGAGGTGCTCCCTTTGACCCGCCTTTAGGTGTTTTAGCTGGATTCCACAGAAATTTCTCTCTGTAGATTCAATCGTTATAGAAAGTATCACATGTCTCTAGTCTCAAAATAAGATTTTGTTTGTCTTCAAAAGTAAAGAACAGTAAAATATGGTAAATTGATATGATTTATTTTCCTTTTTCATTCCTCTTCTAGTTGATGGCAGCTCATGCCAGTAGGGACAGAGTCATAAAAAATTGTATAGCCCAGACCTCAGCAGTAGTAAAAAGCCTCCGAGAAGAGAGAGAAAAGAATCTGGATGATTTAGCATTATTAAAGCAACTTAGAAAAGAGCAGACAAAGGTAAGTAGAACAGAATGTATATTTTTTAGGCAAATTTTTTTTCAACGTAGCCTTCAAAATAAAGGCAGTTTTTAATGTGAAAAATTCAGAGTAAAATATAGTTACAGTTTTTTTAAAAAGTAAATTCATGCTTATTTTTTTCTACGGGTTTATGTTATTTCATTTAAATATAAATTGGTAAATAAATGTGCATTTCATAAACAGATATAATATAGTGACTTTAGCTAAAATAATCATATTGATCATATTTTATTCCCATTCTTTTATTTGTTCCATTGTAAGACAGAGAAGCTGTGCTGCGCTGTGTGAAATACTTGATTCTTTGGGTCCAGGCCTCTAAGGTTAGAGACCCGCCCTGAGACACAGAATGAAACCACAAACATAAGTAGGAAAAGAGCAGTTTAATAGAAAAGTGATTATTAATAGAAAAGTACATCCCATACCTGAAAGGCAATGTGTGGGTAGCTGTCTGCACAATACTGCACTGGGAATGGGTTTATTATGGAGTCTTGTCATGAATATTTAGGAGGCGAGGTCTGTCATTATACCTGGCTCTTTTTTTTTTTTTTTTCCCTTTTTCCTTTTTTGTGGGCTTTTGGTTCCACCTGCATACTTCTTGGGTCAGGGAGTTTTTTTATTTGGTTGGGGAAGTCAGTACACATGTTATGTGTGGACTTTGAAGGTGTGAGCATGAGCATAGGGATGATTCTGCCTACATCAACTTATTGTCCTTAGTGGAAAGTAGGATGTTGACTAAGCATCCGAGAGAATTCCTGTGTGAATATGTGGGACAGTGGGAGAGAAGATGACAACCTTCTCTAGGTTCTTTAACAGTTTAAGCAATAAAAGTTGATAACCGCTCCTCTCAGTGCCAGGGATCTACCTGCAATTGCTGGTATTGTGATTGATGTGTTGTATGCCCCCTTTGTTGGCACTGGGACTCGCTGCTCATAACACCTAGAACATTTCCTAATGTTAAAGACAAAAGATTGATTCCAACTAACACCATATCAGAGGTCCTAGGAAAATCCCTTCTATATCTACTTTTTGAGGCTTATCTTATATTTCAGGAGACTCCTGAAGGTGTTGATAAAGCATATTGTGGGACAGGGCTGTTGAATCAGAAACTGAAAAATCACTGTTTGCAATTAAGGTAAACAGAATTCAGTGACTCTTGTTAATGGAGAGCAAAGTTCAAACTCTAAAGCACTGAGCATTTGGGAGTGATTGTGTCACATAATTTACTTAGCCCTCACATCTGCCCCTGTGCCTTTAGGGCTCAGAGAATCACCAGGGTGACCATTGCAAGGAGGGGTTTAGAAATCAGTGAGTTAGGTAAGGTTTGCTTTCAGCTAATGATGTTTAGGGCTAGAAGGTAACCATGAGTAGTACATATGCAAATGAGGAAATGTGATTTTTTTTTTATTTGCTATGAAGATTATAGAATCAGAGCTCTTATAGATGTCCCAGCTATACCTCTTCATTTTCTATATGAGGAAACTGAAACTCAGAGATAAGTAACTGTCATCCCACAAGTCACAAGCTAGTAAGTGGTAGAACTGGGACTTGAAACCATCTCTTCCTACTCTGGATTCAGTTTCTTTATATTCAATTGTAACTAGTAGCCATAAATTCTGCTTACTTTAGTGAATATGCTTTATTTACATTCCGAGATGCAAGTCTACAAATCTCCAGTTTTTTACCTGAATTTCTAATTCAGAAAAGTATGTTTGTGGAATATCATTGCTGCTGTCACCTGTGTTGAGACTGTTTGCCTGTTTAAGACCTGGAGCCTCAGAAACAATTTCAGAGGTGGCCATTGGTGGCACTGACAAAATTTTATTAGACATTGGCTGTAATGTTTGCATACCCTAAAACAGAAAAAAACTTGGATTTTTAAAAACTTAGATTTACTAAGGTAAATCCATCTACCTTAGTGACTTTGTAACTTTCGAAATTTATAGCTGAGTCTTTTCAGTCTATAAAATGCTATCAGTGCTTAATAACTACTTCTTTTCTTTGTTTTTGTTTGTTTGTTTTTCTTCAATAGCCAGAGGACATGTATGCTAGCCAGAGAGAAAGGGAGAAGGAGAAAGCACTCCCCCAGTAGGGCCTGGTCGTGTTTCAATCTGTTCTCCATTTCTTCATCCTGTTGGGATTTCAGGCACACATGCACATGCACCCAGGGTGTTTTTCAAGCCCTCAGGGCTGGGGCTTGAGCTGAGAGGTTAGCTAGGTGGGATCTGGCTTCATTAACTACTAGGCCACAAGAATGCTCCTTTTTTTTTTGAAAGAATTATTTTATTTAACTATATTTATTTATTTTAATTTAACCAGAAAGGGACAAAGAGAGAGAGAGAAAGAGAAAGGAAACCACCAAGTTTGTGACTAAAACCATGGTTAGCCATGTGGAAGTCCAGCACCTTTAACCACCACGCCACCTGCCGGCCCCAAGACTGGCTCCTTAATAACTTCATGTTTTCTTTTTTTGGTGTGGATTAGATTATACTACATACACAATACACACATAATGTTTATAAGAGCTAGCATATTATACAGTACAAAGTAACAGTTCCTTTCCTTTGTTGTTTGAGTCTCTGCCACTCCATATTTGTTGTCTTTACCATATCAACGAGTAGTTTCCATCTTTGATTTAAGTACAACTTTAGAGTGGGGTGTTGGGCCAACAGATGGCGTAATGGTTGTGTCATCAAACTACCACGTCATAGTCTGCTGTTCCAGACTGGCAGCTTTAAAAACTCACATTGGGAGACCAGCAGTTGGCAAATAGCTATGTCACTAGACTACCATGTAGTCAACCACTACCATGTAGTTGAGTCCCGGCCCTGGTGGCTTAAACTCATGGTGGGGGCGTGTCTGTGTGCATGCCCAAAATCCCAAGAGGAAAATGGAGGAGAAGGGATTGCAGTGTGGCCATCCCCTCAGGGTGTGATTTCTCGCTTTCTATCTTTTCTTTCTGGCTAGCACTCGCGCCCTATAGCAAAAACCTCTCCAAAACAAAACAAAACAAACTCACATTGGGGATGTGTGTGTGTATACACAAAATCCCAGGAGGAGAATGAAAGAGAAGGAATTGCTGGGTGGTCACCCCCACTGGTGGGTGATTTCTTACTTCTGTCTCTGTCTCTGTCCCTCCAGCAAGCGCATGCGCCATATAGCAAAAATCTCTCTTAAAAAAAAAAAATAGAGTAGGGTGTCTTGCAGAGAGGACTCATTCTCTGTGTCAGTGCCTTCTCTTTTTGAGCAATTCAATCTTTCAAAAATTTTCTTATGTATTCTAAAAATCTGCCTTCCTGTAATATGTAAATATTGCTCTTTGATATTCCTTCTGGAGCTATACAAGATAAATCTGAACTCCTCCTTCTTTTTTAAAGTTTTCTTTCTTCCATAAGCAAGAGAGACAGACATCATGTTCTTGATACCATGATCTACCCCCAAGCCGGAGCCAGTCCCAAATGATGAGCGTGAATGTACCCAGCATATTCTAGCAAGTCAGATTTGATCCTGGGACCTTAAATTCCCAGAAGGTACATGCACTTGTCAGAGAGAGAGAGAAAGCATCCCCTCCAATGGCCTAGTCATACCGTAGTCCCTTCTCCATTTCTCTCTCCTGTTGGAATTTTGGGCACGAACCAATATATGTCTAGTGTGGTTTTCAATCTTCCAGGACTCAAATTTGAACTATAGTTGGCCATGTTGGATCTAGTCCCCTTGGACCCTAAAACCCTTTCGACATGTAACCTGTTTAAATATTTGAAAGCAGTTATGAAGACTGTCTTAGTCACATGTTGTCACATCTTCAACTACAGTTGTTATTTCTTCAATAGTCAGTCCAGGCTTTGACAGAGTAGGGAAGATGTAATGATTTTTAGTCTGTATGACTGATTAAAATCTGAAAATGAGGTTGCTTTGATGGATTTCTTCAGCTTGTTACTACTCCACAGCACAGAACCAATTTCAGAAGTAACAGTCCTTCCACTCTTTCTGCGTCTGGCCCTGAATTGTTCCTAGGGAGCCATTGTATTAGTGCTAAGTTCCATTCTTACTAGAGTTGTGTGCAAACTTCTCAAACCTTCTTTCTGAAATGCTCATAATCGGTAAGGATTTTAGCCTAGGTGACAGACTCATGGTTGCCTTGGTCTTCTCTTGCCCTCCTCTGTTTTGCCTTTCTCTCTGACCTGATAAGACTAGGAGTCTGATGGGTCATGTCATCCGGGCCAGGCAGTGGAATTGGCTCATTTTCTGGAGCATTGTGTTTAGAAAACCATACTTTTTTTTTTTTTTTTTTTTAACTCTCATGGTACAGACCACTTCTGTGATCCCAAAATGTATGGAGATTTCTCCCCACTGGATTCTTGGCCTGTGCAGCATTCTTTCCTCCTGGGTAAGGGGCAGGACCCTCCTGGAATGAGAAAGGCTTGGATGATTCACGTTTCTGAGGTGAAAGGAGGGCAGGAGAAGGTCAACCTGCTCTTTCCTCAATATCTGAAGCTATTCTTAAGCTGTTTCAGGAAGCAGGGACAAAAGGGCAAATACTTACAAGCCAGCAACTGTGGATAAAAATCAAAACTTTTATCTTATATCATAATACCACATGGAACAATTAAGTTGGCAGTAATAAGGAAAGGCAGAAAAACAGCATTTTTAGCCTCAGACATCTTGTTATATGTTCAAAGTGGGGCAAACTCATATCTTTCTAGATCACGTGGGCTTTGTATCTGCTGCTTCTTCTCTGTTTTCTTCTAGTTTCTTCTTAATTCTTTATCTAAATCAGGTTGTTACTCCTTTTCCTTCATTTTATTTCGCTGTGCTGTCTCTGTAAATGTGTAGATATATGGTCAATTTGTAGAACTGGGATAGAATTGGGCTCAAAGATATATGAATGTACTTTATGTTAAGTCTTGCCAAATTGCCTTACATAGAAGTTGCAACAATTTATACTCCTACTAAAAGTAAGTATTAGTGTATTATTTCTACAC